GACCATCATTCAAAAGTCCACAAAAGACAAATGCTGGAGAGGCTGTGGAGAAAGGGGAACCCTCCTACACTGCTGGTGGGAATGCAGTTTGGTGCAGCCACTGTGGAAAGCAGTATGGAGATTCCTCAAAAGACTAGGAACAGACTTACCATATGACCCAGTAAGTCTGCTCTTGGGCATCTATCCAGAAGGAACCCTACTTCAAAAAGACACCTGTACCCCAATGTTCATAGCAGCACTATTCACAATAGCCAAGACATAGAAACAGCCTAAATGTCCATCAACAGATGACTGGATAAAGAAGAGGTGGTCTATTTATACAATGGAATACTACTCAGCCATAAAAACCAACAACATAACACCATTTGCAGCAACATGGATGTTCCTGGAGAATGTCATTCTAAGTGAAGTAAGCCAGAAAGAGAAAGAAAAATACCATACGAGATCGCTCATATGTGGAATTAAAAAAAAAAAAAAAAGAGCATAAATATAAAACAAAAACAGACTCATAGACATAGAATACAAACCTGTGGTTTCCAAGGTGGGAAGGGATAGACTGGGAGTTCAAAATTTGTAGATACCAACAGGAATATGTAGAATAGACAAACAAGATTATACTGTATAGCACAGGGAACTATATACGGATCTTGTGGTAGCTCACAGCAAAAAAAAAAATGTGACAATGAATATATGTATGTTCATGTATAACTGAAAAATTGTGCTCTACACTGGAATTTGACACAACATTGTAAAATGACTATAACTCAATAAAAAATGTTAAAAAAAATTTAACAAATGTGTAAAGTATAATAACTGGTGTATACAAAGGGTGTAAGGGAAGCACACTGCTGGAGTACCCAACCTAGACAGAGGCAGAAGGTGTCAAGGAAGGTTTCCTATAAGAGGTGGGCCTAAAATGAGACCTATATATTAACTGGGTTAATTAAAAATGGGCAGCCTAATTAGGTAAGAAGCAGGAAGTGGAGAAAGGAATCAGAGAGAAGATTCCAGTCAAAGAGAAGAGCAAGGGCAATGCACAAAGAAATAGCACAGCGCACATGAAGAAACAGTTCGGCGTTGCTGAAATCTAAAGTACGAGGCAAAAAAGAGGCTGGAGATGCAGGCAGGTCCAGAAGGAGCAGAGCCCTGGGGGACCAGCTGAGAAGCTCAAACTTTAGAAGTTCTAATGGATTTTGCAACTTAGTAAACAGTAAATATTTGCTGAATAAATGAGAGAAAAGGTTGGATGACTGAACAGACAGTTCTTTAAACATTATTAAGCAGGACTCTGACTCAGTCAGATTTGTTTCAAAGTTCATTTGGGGCAAGGGGATAGGTACTGTGAAGAGCAGATACATGGGGAACAGGACTAGAGCAGGAGAAACCAGTTAGAAGGCCATCATACTCTAGATGAAAAATGATAAATTCTAAAGTAGGACAATAATTGGGACAGAAAAAAGAGCACAGATTTGTGAAATATTTAGAGGACAAAATCAACAGGATTTAGTGATGGATGTGCTAAGATAAAGTTCAGGGAAGATGGCATTTGAAGAGTCTCTGGGACTTGCAGGCAGAGCTGTCCAGCAGGGTAGCCAAAGGTGAGCATGAAATTCTAAGCTGACACTTCAATTTGGGAGCATGTAGGAGGGAGTCAGCTGACGTTTTCACTCTGGCAGGGTGTACAAAATGAAAAGAGCAGTGGGCCAAAGTTACAAACCTTGGAAACACCCAAGATTTTAAGAGAGGAGAAAAAGCTACCCACAGGAGAAAAGATCTGAGAGAGAGGCACATGGAGAAATAGCTAGAAAATAAAGTGTTTTCTCCTTACAGGAAATCACTGTGTCTTGTTCATCTCCATATCACAATACATGTTTGTTGAATAAATCAGCTGGGTGTATTGTCCTGGAAAACAAAAGGAGTAGGGAGTGAGAGGTATCATCAAGTTTCAAAAGCAGTAAAGGTATCCAGTAATGATTGAAGAATGTCTATGTGGTTTAATAATCAATTGTTGGTGACTACAAGGTAAAATTTCAGGGGAATAAGAAATCTGAAAGCTGGACTGCAGAAGGGAACGGAAGGTGGGGAGTTGGAGACAAAAGTCAGAATACTCTTTTTAAAAAGTATGGATAGAAGGGGAGAGAGGTACTGGATGAGAGCCAAAGGAAGATGTATCACCAGGAAATTTTTCTTTCTTTCTGGCTTGTGGGAGGGAGGAAGGATTCTGAAAAACCTTACCTTGCTTATAAATGATTGGGAGACACAGGGGCAGAAAAGACAAAAGAAAGCAAAGTCTCATGAGTGAAAATATGAAAGAAAGGTCAGAAGCAAAGATAAAGGAATTTGCTTTGATCAGAGGAGACAGCTCATCCTTTGATTCTGAAGGAAAAGTAAAGCTGGGTATAAATCTAGATGACTTTGTGAAGAGAGAAAGTAGGGGCAGAAACCCAAGAGAAAGCACATCTGATGACCTTAATTTTCTCCATAAAATAATAGATAACAGAGTTTGGTGTTTGAGAACTTAATAACAACAGTTGAAGAAAATCAATATAAAATAGTGAATAATACCCAGCTTCTGAAGTCCAACTGCTCAAAGTTCAAATCTTGCCTCTACTCACTGTGTGACTTGAGGTCAGTTATTTAACCTAAGTCTTTATTTCTTCAGCTGTAAAACGGTATTAATTATTGCTCTACACTACATGGTTGTCTCAAGGGCTAAATTAATACGTAAAAAGCTCGGTGTTTGCCAAAATGTAACCATTCAACACTATTATCACTCTCGTTAACAGTGAAGGTAAAATGAAAGCATGGATGAAGGAAATGTAAAAAGATCATCTCACAGCACTGTGCAAAGAGAAAAGGCAAACCTGTTTCGTCTGCCCACACGAACAGTCCTGTCTCAAGTGTTTTCGTAACGCCCAATATAAATCAAATTCCCAAAAAGCTCCAAACCTGGACCACATTAATTCCATATGGAAATTATATCCCTGCTTTGTTGAACCGCTATTACTGGTCTGCAGGAGCAAAGTCTTACATCTTCTGGTCTTCCTATAAGGCCTGTTGAGGACGCTGTAAATGGCTCTCAAGTTCCTCTCACGGGGCATTTCTGGAGGAAACAATGTCCTTCCTGAAAAGCTGAGAAGCCTCCTTGGGTTGGGCAGTGCCCATTTCCTATTCTGCCTGTGTTCCGACCAAGCTAGGTACACGGGGAGAGGGGGGCGAGGAGCACTCATGTGAACGACCGCGAAGTGGGGCGGAGACCAACGTGAACGCCGCCAAAACCCCGCAGGAGAGAAATGAAAGCGGAGAACCCTGGAGCCTGAGAATGGAACAACGCTAGCTGTAGGGGAAAGCAGTGAGAGCGTTATTCAAAGCACATCACCCAGGGGTAACAGAGGACCCACGCTAAGGCCCCCACTCAAGGATTTCAACCCAGGCACAGAAGAGGCACGCCGACAACTGCCTTACCTCGAAACCGCAGAACGGACAGGTTCACGTTACTTCTCCGTGCCGCACCACTTCCGGCGCTGCGGAATGACGTCGCGACTCAGGCTAGAGAGCAACCGCTGACGTCACCAAGCGCTTGTCGGAAGAGTGGTTGAGAGTCTCGGCCAATGCCCGGATCGGGAAGCCCCAGCCCTAATTGGTCCGTACTGGACCAGGATCCAAATTTGGATCCTGGCAGTTGTCCCGGTTCGGATGGGCTCTCTCAGCATCTCTCTACTCGAGAGCTGCTGCCCTGTTACCACCTTTTAGCAGCTATCCCCGCGGCGGCCGTTTCTAGGCAGCAGTGCAGCCTCGACATTCCCTTCGTAAGCAGCTCACTACCTTAAAGGCCATCTTTACCTGCTTGTAGCATTGTTTTCCCTCATCCTTTCAAAGCTACAATCTGCTTTCTCTTTTTTCTAGGGTAAAAGAGTGGAAACGGGAAAACCTGCTAAGATTTTTTTTAATGCTGTCTTCACTAAATGAAATGGCTGAAGAGCAATCAGGGAGGAGAGAGGCAGGATGTTGGGATGAGCAGTGTTTACTGATTTTTTTTTTTTTTTGGCAGTTCTAGGATGTTCCCCAAGAGGCACGTGCTGCAATTATTCTAAGGCATTTTGGTATATGGAAAAATTCCTATCTCATTTGGAAAACTGTTTCCTTCTATAGGAAAGCAGAGACTCATTGGTATGATGTTGATATCAAAGCTATCAAAACAGAGTGGTAGGATCCTCCAGAAGACACTGAAGAGAGACTTCCCCTCGTTAGCAGAGAAGATACAGGTTTATATATCCACACCAGGAAGTGGATTAAGCACAGGAAGCGTCTCAGCGGCTACACAGGCCTTGTGGCTGTGGAATGTGATTCACATTGTTCGAGGTAAAGAAACGCTACTCTGGTGACCTGACCAGTTTTGTTCTTCCCTCCGAATTCTTCTCTTAGCCTCTGCTTCTACCTGACCTGCCTATGTGTGTCTTGCATTCAAAATTGGATTGGATTGTTCTAATTAGATTATTCATCATATGTTGTGCAAAATTAGGCAGAATTTTTAGGCCCTATTAGGTCTAGCCCTTTGTGTATAGCATAATACTTGCCCAAGAAGCAGGTTCACAAGGCACAACAAACACATTGCTTAAGGGCATGGTGGGCACTTAAAAATTTTTTCAAGGACCCCAGAACCAAAGATTTATCACAACAGATACATAGAAAATAATACAGAGTAAACCTGTAGTATTATCTAATGCAGTAGCCCTCAAAGTGTAATCCTTGGGTCAGTAGCAGTAGCCTCAAAAGACGGGAAATGCAAATTCTCAGTTCTCAATCCAGGCTTAATGATTCAGAAACTTTTGGGGTAGGGCCCAGCATTCTGTTTAACAAGCACACCAGGTTATCCTTCCTAATACATGCTTAAATTTGAGATTCACCGATGAAGGCAAAGCTTCAAACCATACGCTATGTTAAATGTATTTTTTGGGCTGTTCAGGGCTTTTGGATTTCTTTTTCAAAAAAGAAATCTGTTTTAATTTTTAATTGTGGCAAAATACACATGACATAAAACTTGCCATCTTAACCATTTTTAAGTATAGAGTTCAGCAGTGTTAAGTATATTCATATTGTAGTGAAATCTATCAACTCTCCATTTCCTTCTTCCTCATCCCCTGGCAGCCACTATCGTACTTTTGGTTTCCATGAGTTTGACCACTCCAGATACTCCACGTAAGTGAAATCATACAGTATTTACCTTTTTGTGACTGGCTTATTTCATTTAGCATAATGTCCTCAAGATTGATTCACTTGCAAAGTGTCAAAACTTCTCTCCTTTTCAAAGCTAAAAAACATTCCATTGCATCTCTACACCAAATTTTATTCCTCTGCTTCCACCTTTTGGCTATTACAAATAATGCTGCTAGGAACATGGTTGTACAGATATCTCTTTGAGATCTTGCCTTCAGTTCTTTTGGATACATACCCCAAAGTGGGTTTGTTGATTCATAATTCTGTTTTTAGTACTTTAAGGAACCACCTACTGTTTTCCATAGCGGCTACACTATTTTACATTCCCACCAACAGTGCCCAAGCATTCCAGTTTCTCCACATCCTTGCCAACCATTGTTATTTTCTGATTTTGGTGGGTTGTTTTGTTTTGTTTTTAGTAGCAATTATCCTAATGGGTGTGAGATGATATCTCACTGTGGCTTTGATTTACATTTCTCTAACAATTAGTGATGTTGAGCATCTTTCCATGTTTTTTGGCCACTTGTGTATCTTCTTTAGAGAAGTACCTATTCAAATAACTTGCCTATTTTTTAATCAGGTTATTTTGTTGTTGTTGCACTACAGAAATTCTTTTTATCTTACAGATATTAACCTCTTATCAGATAAATATGATTTGCAAATATTTTTCCCATTTCACAGGCTGCCTTTTTACTCGGTCAATTGTGCCCTATACAGATGTTTTTAATTTTGATGTAGTCCAATTTACCTATTTTTACTCTTGCTGCCTGTGCTTTTGGTATCATATCCAATAAATTATTGGAAGCCTTCCCCCTGCATTTTATAGTTTTAGGTCTTACATTTAGGTCTTTGATTCATTTTGAGTTCATTTTTTATATGGTGTAAAATTAGCATCCAGCATCATCCTTCTGCATGTGGATATCCAGTTTTCCCAACACCATTTCTTGAAAACACTGTCTTTTCTCCATTGAATGGTCTTGGGATACTTATTGAAAATCATTTGACCACATATGCAAGGGTTTATTTAGGGGCTTTCTATTCTGTTCCATTGGTCTATGTCTGTGTTTATGTCAGTACCCTGTTTTGATTACTGTTGCTTTGTAACAACTTTTGAAATCAGGAGGTGTGAGACCTCCAACTTTGTGCTTTTGCAAGATTGTTTTGCCTATTTTGCTCAGGGGGGGTTAATTTTTTTGAATTCCAGTAGTTAGAAATTAGAAGATCTTGCATGAAAATAAGGATTCATGGTCTCTTGAAAAAAAAAATCAAGAAATCCAGCAAATTCTGGCAACAAATAACGGGAATTATGAGTGGCTGCCATGTGCTCTCCAGCTGCCATTGCCTCCACCCACTTATTTATATAACCTGTCTGGTGCCTTGAAGGCCCTGCTTTCTTTGAGATTTTGAGACTCCTGGTCTAAGGGAAAGGAAGTTGGAACCAGAGGACCGACCTGGGGAGGCTGCAGAGGCTGCAGTGGTCTGCTTCAGAGATTTTCTTAAAAGTATAGAGTTCTAGGAGAAAATATAACTAGGAAATTTTATTTGGTTTTTTGTTTTTCTTTTTTCTTTTTTTTTTTGGTTTGGTTTCTTTGGCAGAAGGGAGGGTAAGGTGGGAGGGGTGTCAGGAAAAACCTGTGTGAGGAAAGGACAATTGTACTGACTCCAGAAAGATTAAAATGAAACCAACTCAAGTGAAGAGTTGGTGGAAGAATATTCTAGGTCTATGATGTAGACTGAGGAAAGAGTATGTACAAAAGCCCTACAGTAAAGCCTTGAGCATATTCTTTCAGGCATGACAGAAGCCCAGGGGAGTTGAGGGATAGATAGTAAAAGGAAAATAGTGAGCAAGGATCAGATAGTAAACCATTTAGGAACTGTATGTGGGCTTATCCTATACTCAATGAGAAAACCGTAAAGAGTTAGCTGGAGAATGACTTTATTTGATTTTCATTTTATGAAGATCACTGTGGATGTTGTGAGGAAGAATGGATTGGAGGGGAAGATGAGAAAAGAAAGGCTAAGAGCAGTCAGGAGTTTACTGATGGAACACAAAAGATGTTGGCAGCCTGGACAAGAAAATAGGGGTGGACTGATTTAAGAGGTATTTTGGAGGCAGCATCAGCTGGACAAGACTTTCTTCTCTGTAGGCCAACTTAGGTCAGATGGCAAATAATAGAAGTCACTTAGTGGGGATAGGACCAAAACCTAGTGAGCTGTAAATGTAGTTGCATCTTTTACATATCCAAAAACTTCTCACTGCAAGCACTTGCAACTCTGCCTGCAGGCTTCCTCTGGCCTCGGCAGCCTTCTCTGACTGCACGCGGGCCGGAAGGGAGGGGATTTACACCCCTGGGAGCAGCAGTGAAAATGATGTAAAGTGGATGGGTAAACTTGTTTCCACAGCCCTGGGGAGAAACAACTTTAAAACACTGTCTCCTCGAGGCTCTCCTGCCCCAGTTGTCTGCAGTGGTAAACTGCAGGTTAATCCACCTGTACTGCTTCCTTCCCATCCCTGTCTTCTTCACTTCTCTGTTCCCCTACTGCTGCTTCCTGGGATCACCTTCTCAACAAACTAACTACACTCAAATCCTTGCCTCAGTGTCTGCTTCTGGGGGAACCCAACCTACACACTCCTGAATATTTTCTACTGATATTTTATTTCTTTTTAGATTAGTTAATAAACTCCCACTGCTTCCCAACTTTTTGACGTTATGGCACAAAGATAAAATTATATATGCAGAGCGTACTGGGTTCATCTTAAGGTCAATGAGGAACTTGGTGAAAAATCACATTTTCTTTATAATTATACATGATATAAATTTAAAATAGACTTTTTGAGAAAATAATATTGGTTTTAGCTAAATATCAAGTAAAATAGTTTAAATTTTTTCATGAGAAACTTGACCATGTTTCTGTGCATATTACTTTTCTTTAAAAAAATATGTAACACATCACGAATTTGCATGTCATCCTTATGCAAGGGCCTATCTTCTAGAGGATGCAAATCCTCTCTGTATTGTTTCAATTTTAGTGCTGCTGAGGCAAGGACTATTACCTTTTTGATATTAGGTTTCTTGGTGAAATAGCTGTATCAGTTATGATTAGGTTTTTAATGATAATCTTTTAAAATTCCTAGTCACACATAATTGGCACACCAATAGAGAAGTTCTGTTCTGTACATTACAGTGTAAACCTAAACCTGCTAATGTATCCATAAACTATACCCTACAATTTGAAATCTCCCACCTATAATTTACACTCCACTGTTTTCACCTCCTACTTTCAGTACTGGTTAACCTCTCCCACTATGTGTTGATTT